GGCTTGGTGACCACTCTGAGGGCTTTACTGGGGTCATCATGTTAGACAATTCTACTTAACGCTGTAAAAGATGACCATAACAGAAGCATGGCTGCAGAGTGGGCAGGCTGATTTTCTTGGTGTGCCTGTAAGCTCAATATAAAATACTAGACATATTGTGAAGCTATGTCTCACAAGTGTCCAGTTTAGAGGGGCTTTTGTAAAGAGCAGCCTCATACCTTACAGGTTCAAGGTCCAGGTATACTTAGAATTGCTTGTTTCATTTCTCACAGCTGAGAACTTCTGGCCTGCTAGCAGCCCAGATCCAGCCCTCCTTCTCTAGGATTTCCTATTCTCCATTATGAGGCCCTGCAGGACTGCCAGGACTGGCCCTGGGGACAACAGTCAGTGGCTTTCTCTACCCTACCTTCTCTTCTTTTCTGTGGGCTCATTTATCTGATGGCTCTTCTGATGGCAGCGTGGTTCTTCTAGAGTTCTCTACCTGCTTGGCAGATGTTCACAGCTGGACAGTTGCTGGTGTCAGCTGAGGACAGACAAAGGGAGTGGATGCCTCCTTTGTGGGAACTGAAACACTGCTGAGGGTGTCATCTGTAGCCCTCATTAGAAGAAAGAGAACAGGTCTGCCCTTCAAGATGGACCTGGCTCAAATGACGTGTGTGTGTGTGTGTGTGTGTGTGTGTGTGTGTGTGTGTGTGTGTGTGTAGGGAGAAAAGGGGTAGAGAGAGGAGAAAGAGGGGATAGAGATAAGGGAGGGGTAGAGAAAGAGGGAGAGGGGTAGAGAGAGAGAAGGAGAGGGAGAAAGGAGGAGAGGGAGGGAAAGACAGGGGAGGAAGGAATAGGGGGGAAGGAGAGAGAGATAGAGAGATAGGGAGAGAGAGAGAGAGAGAGAGAGAGAGAGAGAGAGAGAGAGAGAGAGAGAGAGAGAGAGAGAGAGAGAGAGAGAGAGAGAGAGCACACACTGAAGAGCCATGACCCGGGTTTGAGAACAACTAGCATGGCTAGAGACTTCTTTTGACACAAGACTTGGGAACGTGGGAGGAAGAAATCATTAGGGCAGATGACAGGGTGCTGAGGACCAAAGTGACAGGGGAAGAGACAGGGCAGCTGAAGACAAGCATTGGGAAAGGTATCCTAGCTTTGCTGCAGTCGGCCCTACAGTCCATATTGACAAAAGCAGCTCATAGGCAGCCTGTCACAGAGCACTCAGAACACTTCTCTTTTACTAGGTATCACTGGTTGGCTAGAACACAGGGGTGGGCGGGCACGCCTAGAAGGCTTCAGTCTGCAGGGTCATGCATGGCACAGGTTGTTAACTACCTCATCAAGCATGCACTGTACTCCAAAGCATCAGCCCTGTCGGCAGGCGCACCTTGGCCCCATTCAGTCAGAGACTTGGGATGAAGCGGTGACCCAGGCCTGGGACAAGCAATCCATCATGATTTTCTGGCCATGGCGATTGGTTCAGGGTTTGAAACAACAGTGTCATTCATCAGTGACACTTTTGTTGGGAGTCATGGGGTCAAGGCAAGGGTCTTACCCCCAAACTGAACCTGAGTAATAGAATTCTTGCCGTCATCTTTAAACACTTAGGACTCCAAATGGGTCCCTACAGGACAGATAGCTGAAGGCTGGGGATTAAAAAAATCAAGCCCTGATGGTGTTGCTTGCACTCTGAATGGAATGGAGCCTGAAGCTGAGAGGACCATGGACCTTCAATAATATTTTCTTACATAAATTTAGGTGGGAACGCCGGCTGCTTGCCATGAGGCTGCTCTGATCGCAGTGGCTGTCTGTAGCCAGAGAAGACAGGGCCAGGACTGGCAGAACATCTGCACTGATAGAAGCTACACAATAGTGACTTCCCTTCAAGACTGGCTTTCAGTCGAGCTGCCTGAAGGCTAGACAAGCTCTCTCAAGGATGATGGCTTCTCCAGTCCCAGGTGAGCATCCAGGTGAATAGACCATCTCAGACGACAAAACGCAACAGCATTCATCCAAGCAGGTGAGGAGTGGGGCTTAAGTCGGCCTGTCGATCAGTGTTCTTCTTTTTTCCCACCTTTTATTGAAATTAGATTTTCCCCTCACATAACATATCTTGATTATGGTTTTCCCTCCCTGTTTCCTCACACCTGTCCTCCCATTTGGATTCACCCTCCCTCTGTCTCTCATTAGGAAACAAGCACATCAAAGGGATAATAATGAAATAAAATACAATAAGATAAAACATAAGCTAACACACCAGAACTGAACAAAACAAACAGCAGGAAAATAGCCTGAGAGAAGGCACAAGAAACAGGCCTACTTCTTCACACACTTAGCAGTCTGAAAACACACTAAACTGGAAGACATAATATATACATCAAGGACCTGGTGTAGACCAGTGCAGGCCCGGTGCATGCTGCCTCAGTCTCTGTGAGTATTTATAAGCTTTGACTGTGTTGATTTGGGGGGCCTTGTTTTCTTGGTGTCCTCCATCTCCTCTGGCTCTTACATTCTTTCTGCTTCCTCCTCCCCAGGGTTCTCTGAGACCTGAGTGGAAGGATTTGGTGTAGACATGCATTGAGGGATGATTGTTTCTAGGTCTTTCACTCTCAGTGTTATGTCTGACTGTGGGTCTCTGTATTTGTTCCATCTGCTGCAGGAGGCATCCTCTCTGATGATGGCTGAGCAGGGCACTGATCTATGAGTAAGCAGAATGCCATTAGGCATTCATTACTTTTTTTTTAAGAACAGTAGTATTTGGTTTTACCCTGGGCTATCTAGTCTCAGGTTCTTGGTCACCCACGCAGCATCAGGTATGGGTTCCATCTCACGGAGTGGCCTTAACTCAAATCAGATATTGGTTGGTGACTCCCACAAGCTTTGTGCCACCATTGCCCTAGCATGTCTTGAAGATTAAAGGGCTTGTGGCTGGCTTGTTTCCATATCTCTTTTGGTTCGAAGTCGCGTGCCCTTTCAGAATTCTCTTTACAGATAACTCTACTACAAATAAGAAGTGAAAAACCTAATACTTATCATGACATAAAAATGGTGCATGCCTATAACCCCAGCATTCTGGAGGCAGAGGCAGGAGGATCAGAAATTCAAGGTCAATCTTGCAGGCTACATGGATGATTTGCAGTTAGCATGAGCTACACAAGGTACTGCCTCCAACAGACAGTCTAAACATAAATAAATGGCTCACATTTTTGGATCTCCACTACAGACCCTGGTGAGTAGGACTGCCTCAAGGAGGTCCCCACCACCCACCTAACCTTGTCTCACTTCTCTGTGTGGTTGGTAGGTACTCTCTTCTCCAGGGGAGAGGTAAACTATTAACCCTAGTATCCAACACCCCACTCTTCACAATGGCTTAGTTGGTACTTACAGTTAACTGATGTCTCAACCTCAAGGATTCTTATTAGCACCCCACCCAGTACCCAGCTACCTAGCACCCTCAACTGCAGGCCACCAGAGTTCACCATGGGTGTCTTGTACCACTTTGTCAAGTTGTAGAAAGAGAGTTCTCTTCATAGTATTTGCTAGGTCTGAGTCATGGGGAAGACAGAGCCACATCCTTTCCCTCTACAGCCTTGCCAATCTCCCTGCACATGATAACCCATGTGCCCCACTATCTATACAGTCACACATGCATCTGTTTGCTCAGCAATACTCGCCAAGCACCCATGGTGTGCTGGGACACACCATGGACAAAGCAGACACTGCTCCTGTGTCTTCAATTGCTGGAATGGTGTCCCTGCCACACAGCTTGGAACCCTCCCTGAGATGCCCTTGGCTAGCCGTCAAAGGTCTGGCATGTGTCCTTGGCAACAGGGTCTGCTTACCCTTTGCCGATGCCCAAGCTTTCCTCCCAAGGCCTTTGTACCTATTTTACTTGGGCCCAAGTCTCGGAGATCCAGATCCCCAGGACCAGACGCCAACTTCTAATTCATGCCTGCTCACAAAATCCTGGAGAGTGTCTTCCTGAAATCCAGGGAAGGTCCAAGCTACCCAGAGACAGCCCAACAACTGTGATTAGAAACTCCAACAGGGGATGGGAAAGCAAAGCCAAGACCTAGCTGGGTTCAGGCTTGTGGTCACCACACCCAAGTCACCAATATTTATATTTGAATTGTTGACTGAGTCCTGGGGCCAAGGCTCATGCTTCTACCTGCTGCCTAATGATGGCCTGCCATGTGCAGGCACGGATGTCTCAGGGCTGCTTTCTCACACCACAGCACAGCAGCCCAAAGCCACTGGGGGTGGGGGTAGTCGGATGATGGGACGATGGAGGAGAGGAGGGATGGGGTCCCAGATACTGTCTTGTACAGATGTCATGAGGGGTAAGGGACGCGGGTTCACTTGTTCTCAGTCTGTGCTGGCTTTTTTTGTACTCTCGTCGGGCACCTTCTGAGAGAAAGCAAAGATGGGAGCAATCTCATGGGAACTTCCTAGAGTCAGCAGTGGAAAAGGAAAGAATACGAGGTGGTCAGGCATAGGGGGGCCAGAGAGTGGGAAAGAAGAAGTGCTCTCAAGCAGGAACAGAGGATGCCAGTGCTGTCCTGAGAGAATCCCCAAAGAGCCCACCTACTTCATGCCCACGTGCGCGCGTGTGTGTGTGGAAGGAACTGAGTGAGAGCAAGAGTCCTGGTTAGAGAGAAGGCTCAAAGTGGCCGCCTGCAGAGCGTGCTCGGGCGCAGAGCCCAGGGGCCGCCCAGTAGCTGGGAAGCCACGCAGCACGCCCTGGAGGCCACCGCAACGACGACAACGGGGCTTCCCCAGGCTTTCCCCCTCCCGGGTCGCGGGTGCGGGGAGCGAGCCCAGGGACTCGGAAACTGCATCGGGCACAAGGGAGCCGGAGTCCCCGAGGCGCCACCGATCAGCGAGATTGCAAGTGGGACCCGAAGAGGGCGGCGTGGTGTCTGGGTGTCCGGGAGCCCGGAGCCGAGCCGGAGATTAGGGCTGAGCCCTCCCCGCCGCCCCCACCCCGCGCCCGCCTCCCGCCCCCGCCCGTGGCCTGCAGCGCGCCTCCCTCACCGCCCAGGCTCTGGCGAGCGGCTCGGGCCGAGCCGTGGGAGCCACGGACAGCACCAGCTGCCGCTGCGGGAGCTACTCCGGCTGCACCATGCGGGAGCTGGCCATCGAGATCGGGGTGCGAGCCCTACTCTTTGGGGTCTTCGTGTAAGTAGTGGTGCGCCACGGGAGGGGACCCAAAGACCCAGCCTTCAACTTTGTTTGAGCAGCTGCGTCCCGCAGGGGCCTGGATTCGAGGTTCTCTCCTTGGTTGGTGCCTGGGATGTTCCCTGTGGGATCAAAAGAAACCCTCTCCTTTTCTTGGGACCCTTGATGCACAGTGATCCCAGCATGCCTGGCTGGGATTAGGACCTGCTTCCATAGTAGTCCTAGTCTGGCAGCCCCCAGCTGGGGTGCCCCAAGTCTGAGCCTTTCACTAACCCCGCACACCTGTCCCTGGGATTTAGGCTGCTCCTTAAGACCAGGGCATGCAGCCTGGCCCGTGCCCTAGGGAAGTTTCTCTCCTGTGATCTTTTGAAGCTGATGATGGCTGGCTGTTTTTGCTCTTGACCCCATCTCCCGGCCACCCCATGCTGTGCTGGGGCAGTCGGGGTCAGCCTAGGTCTTCTCGGCTGGCTCCTGAGCTGACAGCCCTACAGAGCATCCTCCCAAGAGGTATCCGCCTTACTTCTCCGGCTGGAAAACTGTTGCCATGGAGGGTTGGGCAGGTCAGGAACTGCAGCTGCCTGCGGGGCTGGGAACACCAGGAACTCCTTTTCAGTCTGTTCTCCTGAGAGGCAGAAGCTCTTCAGAGACAGCATTGAAATGTCCAGGTTGCACCTGCAACTAGGTATTCCCGAAACAGGATGGAACGTAGCGCAGTTCCTTCAGCGATGTCTGTGCTTCCTCAGGCACCCCGAACTGCCTCTCACTGGTCCTAAGGCTCACCACAGAGAGCCATCACATCTCTCCAGTCTATCTTGTTTAAACCAGTCTGCTAGCCAGCCTTAAGTACCTGCCACCAAGGCGGACACATCTGTACTTGTCCCTCCAGTAGCAGGCCAGGTTTTCTCTCTCCTACCCACAGCTGGCTGACACATTTTAAATATTAAAGTTGCACGGGTTCTCTGCATTTGTTGGGGTCTTGGGACATGTGTGGGTAGGGGGTATCCCATGAAGACAAACAGGACCCCCTCAGAATTGCTGCCCCCAACCATGGCAGGTGTGCTGTATCAAAGACCACTTTTGCACCTCGGGGTATATGCATGGAAAGTATTGCTCTCTCTCTCTCCCTCTCCCTCCCTCCCTCCCTCCCTCCCTCCCTCCCTCCCTCCCTCCCTCCCTCTCTCTCTCTCTCTCTCTCTCTCTCTCTCTCTCTCTCTCTGTGTGTGTGTGTGTGTGTGTGCATGCACATGTGTTTAAACTCGGGATTAATTTCATCCTGAGGATTCATTCACACCATCAAAAAAGGCTGGGAGCTCCCCAGATGCACCCCTCCCCATGCTGCCTTCTGACTGAACACTAGTGTTCTTCTCTGGGAACAAGGAGCAAGAACTTCAGTTGGATCTTGATGCATTTGAAAAAAATGAAGTCCTTTCCCCTCCTCTCCCTCTGTCTCTGTACCTTTGGAGTAAACATTCCAAGGAGTGGCTTCTGGGCAGTTTCCAGTTGGCAGATAGGCTAAAACCCCATTCAATTATTATGTGCTAAAAATGACAGACTGGTGTTTAGTGCATGGTAGAATCTAACATTTGTTGGCAGAATGTCTGTACAAAAAGAAAAATGCAGGAATAAAGTGAAATAGACTCGTAGGCTATCTGCCCGAGTTGCTTCGGAGAATACTTGTTTTAAAAAGGGTCTAGCCACATGGAAAATATTTATATGTTCTTACATTTCTCTTAAAATATTCTTCCAAACACTCATGCAATGTTTACAAATATACAACCGCTTGTGTAGTGAGTTAGAAAACTTGGTAGATAATGTTTATATGTGTCTGGGTTCTTCCACGATTGTTACATTAAACAAAACATCACTTTTCAGTTTTTTCTCCAAAGTCCCCTATGTACTCAGTGGGGGATCTGCAGCCACCTCCCACTGCAGGACACACATGGACACTGATTGTGTTTTGGCATGATTCTTGAGTTTCCTATGAAATTTAAATGTTACCTACAAAGAGCAGATTGGCACTGAAGGCAAGCTGGGGGCTGGGGCTCCCGCAGATAATGGCTTCCGGGAGAGCCTAGCAGGAGCAGGGGCACAGATGACCCCTTGTTTTCTCAGATAAGCTCCTGGCGCCTTGACAGAGGCTAGCTTTGGGAAGGAAGGCTTCTTCCTCTTGGCAGCACTGTAGTGAGGAGGAGACTTGAGTGACAATTCACTGTCGGTGGTCTTCACAGCCCTAGGATATTTGGAAGTCCCTCCAGGCAAGCTGAATCTGGTCTCCCCTATGCTGACTGGCACAAACGATATAGTTCATCACCCATTTGAACTTGTCATGTCTGCCCTATCTCCCAGGATGAGAGGCTAGTTTTAAACTGGAAAGAGCATCTCCTCTCTTTCCTAACTCATGTTCTAGAGCATGGGGTTCTTAACCTTTCTAATGCTGCAACCCTTTAATACAGTTCCTTATGCTGTGGTGACCCCCAAGCATGAAATTATTTTGTTGCTACTTTATAGCTGTAATTTTGCTACTGTTATGAATTGTAATGTTAGTATCTGATATACAGGATATCTGATATGGGATACCTATGAAGGGTTGTTCAACCCCCAAAGGGGTCTCGACCCATACACAGGTTGAGAACCTCTGCTCCAAAGAAACCTCTCCTAAAAATGTGCTTGCTCTTTGATCACATTTCCCTGCCTGGAAGCAGGCATGTCATGTCAGCTGATCCACAGATCTGCTCTCTATAGACTCTAAGGGAGAGCTAATGAAACACGTTCTGGGCCCAAGGGCCTGTGAGCTGTCCCTTGACAACTCTTGCGGGAAAGCCCTTTGTGAGGAGGTCAAGTACGGTGCCCGGGATTTGTGCACTCAAGTTGCAGAGAGGAGTCTCAGGCTCAGTGCCTTTGGGGCCACCCTGCTTCAAAACTTAGCTAGCAAACAACCACAGAAGAAGAAGAGCTGTAAACACCAGTGCTGCTAGGGCTGCACCTCAACTTCAGCTTAACAGGATGATGTTTACTGGAACTGCATGTTCAGGGAGTGTAAGAGGGCCAAGTACAGCTTTGAGGGTAGTGTTAGCCCTCTGATGCTTGTGGGCTTCAGGGGCCCTATGGTTCCTATGCAGGGATTGGAATAAGCTGTTACCCAAGACATCAGGAGAGAATCAGCAAGTGTTTCTACAAATGCCAGCAAGAGCTGGACCTTGCACATCGGCTCTGAACTCCTGGTCATCAGCCCTGTGCCCTAGGTTTGCCAGTACCAATAATTTGGTAACCTACAGGGGCTGGGGAGGTGGCTCAGGAGTTACGAGCTCGTATTGCTTTTATAGAGGACCCAAATCCAGTGCCCAAGAGCAACACAGGGCATCTCACATACACCTTTAAGTCTAACTCCAGGGGATATAATGCCTTCTTCACTCCCACAAGTACATACCATACACAGGCATGAACGTCACGTAGGACATTTGTAGGAATCTAGCCTGGGTTAGTTTGGTAGTTGGTGCAAAATGCTCAGCTTAGTGCAAAGGAGGGATAATTAACCCAGGAAGTGATTAGAAGGTGGGGAGAGATGCCAGGGAGTGATGCCCAGAGTTGACTGCTCACCTAAGCATCCAGTGCCAGGTGTGTGAGGCAGCCCTGGACTCAAGGACATTCCTGCTGAGTAAAGGCCTGGCAGCCTGCAGGCAGTTTGAACTGGGAACAGCTCACCAGGTGTAGCTACAGACTGTGTTTCATGGACAAGGTAGGATGTTTCTGATAGGAAATGAGCCTAGAATGTAAGGAGGCTAGGAGGTGTGTGTGTGTGTGTGTGTGTGTGTGTGTGTGTGTGTGTGTGTGTGTTCCTCAGACACTTCACTTTTTCCGTGTCTCTAATGATTTGGGACTTTGTAAGCAGTCTAGACTAGCTAGCCAGTGAGTCCCAGATATCCAGTTGCCTCCATCTTCCCAGTACTGGGTTATAGTCATATGCCACTATGTCCAGCTTTTCGTTGTTGTTGTTTTTTAACCTGGGGTATGGAGATCAAACTCAGGACTTCAATCGAGCGAGGCAAGCACTCTGTAGACTGTGCCATTTCTACAGCCAGGCTCTGAAGATTTGGAACAAAGAGCCATCTGCTCAGATATTTACCCAGTGGTGTTAAGGGACCATTTTGTTGGTGACACAGGTTTTGTTCACTTCTGTGGGTAGCAGTGTGTGTCTCTACCATTGCTGCTCCGCTTCAGCCCAGAGCAGGGAAGTGTGTGAGTACTGCTCTTAGTTGGTCTTATGCTCAGTCATTTCTGTAATTGCCTGGTGTTGTATTGCCAGCAGCTGTGCTAGGGTTTAGGACACATCTCCATCTTCTTTCCTTTCCCCTTTGGTCCCCGTGTGACCTAGCCATGGGCTTGAACGATACCCTCTGACCTAGCTTCCGATGGTCATTTTCCTAGAAATCTGCGCGTGCTACATCTGTGCAGAACAAAGCTACTTCCAAGGGTGGCCTGCTGACCACCTGTGTCAGAGTTACCCATAGTTCAGCTCAGCACTTCCTAACCTATGGATTGACATGAAAGGAACTTCAGCACTTGATAACTTATGACTGGCATGAAAGGAATGCTGGAGTCTGCATTTTGAGCAGACACTCTTTCCATCGACTAGGCTTTAGGAAGTTTTAACAAATGAGCATTGTCCTTTAAAGGTCTCCTCTGCTTCTTCTCTCCTTTTTGAGCATATGAAAAAGCTGCCCTCCCTGGCCCTGCTGAGGGATTAAATGAGGCCAGGCAGGGAGCCTAGTCCATGGAGCACTGGGTAGAGGCCGCTTGAATTTCCTTAGGGAAGAGCATGGAGCTGTATGCTGACACACACAGTTTCGAGACAGGGCCACCAAGAGAGCTGCCTTGGAGGCTTATGGTATTGCAGGTGGACTCTGGAACAGAAGGTAGTTCTCTGCTAACTGAGATGTGGGGGTTGGCTAACTACTGCAGCATTAGTCTCTTCTGTGATAGTGTACCTGTAGTAGTTTTGT